TCAGGTCACTTAGATCTATCAAAGACTCAAATATTCAGTTTTGGGTGGACTTGCCTTTTAGGAAAGGAACGAATGTAATGTTTGCCTATGTAAGTATCAATCCGGCATTCATTTATTTGATCTAAAAATTGATTTTACAGGTAACCTCAGTTATGTTTTTTTATGAATTGACCATCAATTTCTGAATGGTCACCAACCAACCAAAGTTCTCTTTTTCTCTTTACTGTCCTGGATCAGAACTCATTCACATCACACACACAGGAAACAGAACAGCATAGCAGCCTATCAACAGCGTTTCTCACCTGTGAGTAGCGGAACAAGTAGACATCAGGAAGCCTATATTTAGCTTCAAATTGATCAAAAGTCATATAAGGGTTTTGTTTAGGGTCAGTTCGCCTAGAGTCCTGATTCCTTTACCAGGCCTTAGATGAAAATCAGGAAAATTAAAAAAAATTGGGGTAGAAGTGGGTTTTTCCAGAAGGGGGGTATAAGGGGACCAAAACTTCTGATCCTGATACAGAAATCGGCATATAGAGAACCAGGCCATAATTGTAGCCCTCATTGACATGGTAAGTCGATATGGAGCCCTCAGTCCTCTGAAAAGCAAGCCACTTAGGGCTTCATAAGAGCCCAGGGAGGAAGCTTCAACCACCCCAGCGCCGTCTGGGAACCTTGGAATTTCACAAAAAGAATCTAACCAAGGCGTTGATTTTATGAAGAAAAACAAAATTGCGCCACCCAAATAGGAGAGTTCCTAAGATAATACAGAAAAACTGGTAATATTTCCATTTTAAAGGAGGTTAATTTTGCCTATAATGGACAGGGGAAGATGTTTCCTTGACCCCAGATGCAGTCTAAGCATAGAAAGCAAAGGAAGAAGGTTCAGGGAAAAGAAATCCCCAACCGTTTTAGTAATACTGACACCGAGGCAGGGGCGTCCTGGAGCAGAGACAGGGTGACACCCCACCGTGACGTCATTGCGCATATGCGCGACGTCACCATGTGTGTGCATGATGCCGTCATCGTGCATGCGCGACCATCTAATTGATACATGCCAGCGGCCATTTTAGTGATGGACGCCGGTAGAGAGAGGAGGGGATGTTCACATGGCAGAATGAGGTATGGCGCCAGGTCCCCTCCTCTCTCCTGACACTGTCGGGCTCTCGGTCCATGACTGAGTGCCCGACTTTTTAGAGGGGGTGACACCAAAATGACTGTTAGTCATTTTGGTGTCACCCTTCCAACGGTGACACCAGGGTGCGGGCCGCACACCCCTTGTGACGCCACTGCACCCAGGTAAGTAATCGTGTCCAACCACTGTAAAGAGAGAGAGGAATCAGCTGAGGACTTTGTTTGAGGATCTAAGGATAGGATATGGGATTTAGACCAGTTATCCTGTAGCCGTGAGAACACTTTGAAGGCATCCAAAATACGCAGAGCTTCCTGAAGCAACAACAGCTATATTTAATCAATTATTCTTCTTATTAAAAAAAAGTCTATTTTTTTTTTCAATTTCTCGCAATCTGCCAGCAGGAAACACGATGAATTGAACTGGAAACTTTTTCTCCATTTTCTATTATACAGATTCTGCATATTTGCCCATTTTTCCTTTGTTCATGTTACCACCCTCAATGCACACGTCCCCAAATTTATATCACCTGTTACCTGGCAGTTTTGCCTTTTCTGCTGGAGTAAGTTGTTTATGGAATTATCTATATACAAGGAAGCGGAAGAGCAAGTCTTGCTCCAATTCTGCTGAAATGTAAAGGACTATCCTTGTCCTTATTCCGATCGCTGTGTATGTTTTCTGAACACTTTTCTCTTCACTTTTGGCATTCAGCAAGCTGGATATTATCTGCTAGGCACACTAAAAGGCTCCTCTTGCCTGATCTTGGTATTTTACCTCCGCCAGCCTTTATCTGCCTTTTTTTTTTACCCGGAAGGAACCCTTCTCAGAGAACCTCTACTTAAGGGAAAATACCAACAGCTCATGGTACATTGGCATGATCAATAGGTTGAAGAAAGTAAAAAAAAAAAAAAAAATCTGTGATGTGCTGTAACTAGCCTGATTGACACCCATGGAAGATAATTTTGTTACCAACCCCCTGCAAAATAATTTTCAGTCATTTTCTTGAGGTAAACAACTGCAGAAGATAAAGACAGATTATGAAAGTTGCGGTGTCCTCTAACATTAGTGGTCAGTGTTGAAGTGACCCCTTACATTGGTGGAAAATTAAAGGAAGGGTAAGACACAGTTAGACACCCCGGTCTAATAACACAAGGAGCCACACAATGGCCACAACACACCGTACACCCCCCTAAGAGTGCGCTAACCAATCAGTCTTCATTTTCCAACTTTCCATTGGTGGAAAATTGCCTCCTTGCATTGGTGGTCAGGGTATGTGTGAGATTAATCCACCATTGCTCATTGCTCAAGAAACCCCTTGCAACCTGGTTCAAAAACACTGGAGGAACCCTGGTTCAAAAACACTGACCTATGCTCAGTTATCACTGACAATGCTTAAATAGTCTGCAGTGCTAGGGTAGCAGCAATGGCATGGGTGCATTGGTTGTCAGGTTAGGTGGGAGATCACTCCACCATTGTTCATTGCTCAAGTAGCCCAGTAGCAACCCCAGGAGGAACTTTAATTGAAAAATACTGACCAGCAGTGAGTTTTTGCTAACCATACTGAAATTGTCTGAGGGTATGCTAGCAACAATGGCATGGATGCATTGGTGGTCAGGGTAGGTGAGAGATCAATCCATCATTGCTTATTGCTCAAGGAACCCCTTGCAACCTCAGGAGGAACCCAGGTTAAAGAACACTGAGCAAGGCTAGATTATTGCTAACAACACTTATATTGTCTGTAGTGCTAGGTTAGCAACAATGGCATGGATGCATTGGTGGTCAGGGTGGGTGGGTGATTAACCGACCATTGCTCATTGCTCAAGGAACCCCAGGAAGAACCCTGGTTGAAGAACACTGACCAACGCTAAGCTATTGCTAACAACACCTAAATCATCTGCAGTGCTAGTTTAGCAACAATGGCATGGATGCATTGGTGGTTACAGTGTAGGTGGGAGATCAATCCATCAATACTCACTGCTCAAGGAACCCCTAGCAACCTCAGGAGTTGCCCTGATTAAAGAACACTGATCTACGCTAAGGTATTGCTGACATTACTTCAATCGTCTGCAGTTCTCTATTGACGGATGGACTTATTCTAAGCAAGAACATTTTTATTTTGGATGATATTAGCAAACATTGCAATTTCTACAACTCAGGACAATGGGCACCTAAACTGCCCCACAAACGTGAACAGGACAACTTTTTGATGAAAGGTAAAGTCACTTTCTTTGTAAATTTTAATCAACATACGAACAGATGCAAAATGTAGCTATTATAAAATAACACGTCAATATTACCAGTATTAATGACAAGCTTCTATGATACATATTCTGACATTTGATATCTTAACATTAGATCTAAGTTTTAAAAATAAATTGGAAATAAATGCCACTTATTTATATGTCATCCATAACTATCCATAGGCGAATCTGTGGTGACTTCAGTCATCTAATCATGTCCCAGCAAAACATTTTCTTGTTTTTATTTCACTTGCCCATAATTGGACTTTCAAAGTGAACAAAGCTTTACTATTCTTACAAGGATAAACGAAGATTTTAAGTGAACATTTCCTACTCCTTAAATAAATCAACCGCACAGGTCTCTACAGTTCCCACAAAGCGGCCAATTTGGGCAGAGGGGATACTTTAAGAGCCTGTAAGAACACAACAGGACAAGCTATGTCATAATAAAATAAACCCTTGCTGTCAAAGTGAAACTGTCATCTGTCTATGTTTATGTAGACGATATTAAATCCTACGCATATTAAATTAAACATGTTCAATATGTTTATTTAGAGTTGACTGTGCAATGTTCACATAGACACAATTGATTTCTCTCTACTTTAATATTATTATTATTATACAGGATTTATATAGCGCCAACAATTTGTGCAGCGCAATATATAAATTAAATGCAATAAAATTTATAAAGATTCCCTTCAGTTATCGAATTATGAGCAGATGAAGTCAACGGGGATTTTCTTTTCACATGACTGAATAAGTGAAGTGAATCTTTAAACATTATATGGTGTGAGCATTCTCAAATCCTTAAATCGGCATCATGATGTGATTGCAAAATCTGATGAATTTAGGCAAAAATGTTACAGATATGAAAATATTTTACAATCAAAATGTAGACAAAAAAATTAAAAGAAGGGCTTGTAACACGAGTGGCCACCTTTACAATCCTCTTAGGTCTGATAAAAGGCTTGCCAGTATATCATGTTGCTGTTTTATAGTTATAGTTACCATTATAGTTAAGTTACAGTAATGAAGAAGCCCTATTAATACATTTTATGCAAGTTTTATTAACAGGGTGCCTATATAATTGTAACTCACATCGTAACATGCAGCATGCTTCAATTAAATGATAAAATGTCTATACAATCACAAATACAAATGATTTACTAAAACTAGTGAAGATTACTTAAAGCAAATATGTCTAAACATCTAATCTTAAACATGAATACACAAGATAGATGTTAACAAATAGATTTACTTATACTTATTATTTACATTTAATCTTTTGTGGCGAATTTACAAAATGATAAACTGTTCACTTAGTGGTGAAGGTTCACTGACTTTAGTAAATAAGCTGAAGCTGCGGATATGTCTTAGTCATTGCCCCTGCACATCATTGGGTATTAAAACTGAACACAGCATCACCTTATTCCTTAAGCAAACATCATCTAATCTCTAGCAAATTAACCCCACTGACCTATAAAAGAATTTATTTTACAAGGTTAACCGAAAGATGTAAAATTTGCAGTGCAGTATGGTAGGTCAATGCTCTTTTGATAACCAGGTTAAATAGTCCAAAAATGAAATAGGAAAACTTTACAATCTTCAGTGCAGTTGGATCCATTTTCTCTTCACCTATTTCCTGTGTAGGTGCTGGTACTCTCCACGCTGGTGATTGTGGTTGGCATGGTTGAACTGGTAGTGGACAATAACGAGCGGCAAGTAAGGTACAGCCTTGGCAAGGCCAGTTGTGCCCGACGTCTGAAGCCAACATCCAGGAGGGCGTAGATGAGGGGGTTGGTGCAGCTGTTGGCAAAGGCAAGGGCAGCTGCAGGACTCAGTGCTTGATGGATAGCCACCCAAGCTGAACAGGGTAGGTCAGCGCCAAGCTTGCCCATCAGCCACAAAGTGTTCAGGGTGTTGAAAGGAAGCCAGGAGAAGCAGTAAGTTCCAACGACGCAAGTCACAATGCGCAACCAGCTGTGCCGACTCCGTGGCCTCCCCTTATTTACCTGCCTGCCAAAATGGTTCCACAGGTACTTGGCCATGCGGCAGTAGCAGAACACCACCACGGCAAATGGAAACACAAATGTCAGGAAAACAACTCCAATCCTGAAGCCTAAACTTAAGGACGTGTTGGCAGAGTCCACGCAAGCTGAGGTCTTGGCATTAATCTCCCTGGTCAACAGTGACGGGCAGCCAACAAGGACCGACACAGTCCAGATCACACAGCAAGCCCCGATAGAGCATCTACGTGTCCGCAATGGGTGCACCTTTGTTCCTCTTATCACCGCAACATAACGGTCAACGCTCATGATGGCCATGAGATGAGAACTGGCACAACGGGTGACCGCGATGGTAAATCCACTGGCTTGGCAAAGGAAAGTTCCAAAGGGCCAGTTTCCTCCTTGTGCCTGGGAGGATGCCCAGAAAGGCAGGGTGAGGACAAAGGCCAGGTCAGATACGGCAAGATTCAGAATAAAGACGTCTGCTCGGCGTGAGGTGCGCCTGGACACCACAATGATCACCATCACGTTGCCGATGAGTCCAACCACAAAAAAGACAGAGTAGAGGGTAGGAAGAATCCAATGGGCATGGTGCAACTCCTTAAGATCGCAAGACTCTGTCTCATTGTCAGCATAATAATTGTCGTAGTAATCCTCCCAAGGCTCTGTGGTCATAGTGGCAAGGAGTCAAAGTCAGTGGCTGGGTGCCACAATGTATAGCTAGATTTATATATGTGCTGAGCCCAAACGTAATTCTGCTTTGCCTTCCTGTAGTTACACCCATCACCTATATCTGAAGGGAGGGCACAGCACTCATCCAACCAAATGCATACAAATGGCCAGCATGTTCAAAGCCCCAAAAAAAGGGACATACTAGTATCGCCTTTATCTCAATTTTCACTGAAGTTTGCAAGTTTTATGTCAGGTCAGCACAGTGTTCACTGAATTAGGGGAAGAGGAAACCTAAAAATGTAGGTCATTTAACAAATATAGTTTAGGTTACAGAACAACAAGGAGAGGCAGAAAAATAACGTTCCTGTTCTAGCCATTAATCTGGGAGGTAAAAATCTTTCAAACTTTGTAAGCCTTGTTACAAAAATTGTTTGATTAATATATATATGTAAAAAAAAACAACAAAAAAAACGGAGTATTGCAGTATGCAATGATACTTTACATCTATATATCAATTTATTTAAATATAAATGCCCAAATATTTTTACATTTTTAAAATACCAGCCAAACATTTTTTGCATTTTCTTCATTATAAAGTTTTAGTATTTACCCAAGTTTGATGGACAGTGTCCTTTACCAGGTTGACAACAACTATCTTTTATTGCACTGATGAAAACTAAAGCCCGCTTTATGGGCTACTGCATTATATACATTCTTATTGATGTTTAATCAGCCCAAGTAAGTAACGTTTATGTCATTTTTATTGATCATTGTTAAATGCAGTTGAATTTTTAACCAAAAGCGACCCGGCTTTTTACACCAAACGACATTATAGGAGTTGTAAAACTATAAATGAATCATACAGAGAAATCAAACTAACCACAGCTCCTTTTTTTTCTGTTTCTTTTTTCACCTGTTCTGATTTGGAAAATATTGACGCGTAAGGAGTACAGATATCATTTTTATATTATTATTATTATTTATTTGTATTTTTATATGGGCAGCACAGTGACTTAGGGGTCTATTCACAAAGCTGCCGAAGGATCTAGCCGTAGCACCGAAGGGGTGCTGTGCGGGCTATTCACTATAGCCCGCACAGCATATGCATATGCCGTACCAGCCTTAAGTGAATAGACGAAAAGTGTTCGGCTGACTTCACTTCAGGTCGGTCATTCACTCGGCTGCCTACGGCAGCTTAGTGAATAGACCCGTTAGTCTTTAGTCCAATTCCCAACTAGGACAATACCTGCATGAAGTTTGCATGTTCTCCCTGTGCTTGCATAGGTTTCCTCCCATGCTTTGTTGCCTCCTGTCTATATCGGCCCTAGTTTGTACACAAGTGAGATAGGAACCTTAGATTGTAAGCTTCTTGGGAGCAGGGACTGAGATAAATGCACAATATATAAAGTGCTGCATAAATTGTGGGCACCATATAAATACCTGTAATAAATAAATATTTTAAATTATTACACCCGGCAATCTAGCTGTGTGCCCCCTTTAGAATAAACATATATCTGACCACTAGGGGGATGCATGTTCACATTTTTCCACAACGCAGTGCAATGTTGCAGTGTGAACAAGGCACATAAAAGACAATGGTTTTCCATGTGCACAAAAAAGCCAGTCACCGCACATAGTGGGGCCCTTAGGTCACTGACTGTACTGTACTGTAACCATGGGGGAGCAGCGAGAGGATCGCAGAACACTACCCCTTCTCTATAACATAAGGAGAAGTCCATCCGTAGTCCACCGAGAGCTGGGAACTAGTTACATAGTTACATAGTATTTGGGGTTGAATAAAGACATACGTCTATCAAGTCCAACCCATATAGGTCCACACTCAACTCATTCTTAGGAATACCTGTACCCCTGTATATTACGGTCCCTCAGGAAATCGTCCAAAAGTTTCTTGAACAATTCCACACTCTTAGCTGAAATCACTGCGGTGGTCTCCGTCCATATCTCTATTTACCCCCTCATAAAAAGTTAGCAGGTTACAAATCCTCATGTATAGTTTACAAATTTGTATTGAGACTGTAATCCATCACAGGAGTAAGCTTGGAGCGGTGACTACTTTACAACACACACAGTGACCATGGAGAACAAAAGTAGCCCCCCTCCAGAAGGAAGGACAGTGTCAGCACTAATTCAGAGATGATTGGAGGATCTACAGCCGAGTGATACACAAATAAGATACATTTTTGTTAATAGAATGTATTTTTAAGATTTAACACCTAAGTTTAGAGTCACTTTAATAATAATTTGTTCTCCCAAACACCCTCCCTACATGTTTCAGCGCTTCAGTGCCTTCTTCAGGGGAGTGCAAAATGACAAGTGCACTTTAGCGTCACTTTAACTGAGGATTGGTGGACTCAGTATTAGAGAGAGAAAGACAATCTGAAGATATTATAGGCAGAAACTGACTGATGGTTGAGGACAGATGAAAAGAGAGAAAAACTGAGAAATAAATCAGAAAAAGCAAGAGAAAATATAAGAAAGGAAAGAAAATATGAGATTTATCTGTCGGGCAAGAGAGTGTAAATGGATTCCATGTAAAGAGACAACCCTTCCTCAGAAAGATGCACATAGGGTACACTAATACGTTGTGGGAGAACTTAAATAAATATACTAAGGGGTCTCCCTGAGATTAGCGGGAATAGATTGTGATCAATAAAGCTAATTAATATTGTGGTAACTTGTAACAGTCAGTAGTAAATTATCAGCTCACAAGATTTCTGACAGGATTAGGGATGAGCTTCGGGTTCCAACCCAAACCATGTTCAGTCGTAATTTTACAGAAATCCAAACGTGATATATTGCAGTGAATTACAAAACTAGAAAAATAAAAATTAATAATAAAATAATTAAGTAAAATATACAGAAAATTGAATACTTACCTATTGGTAATTTTCCTTTCTTATATATATATATATACATGGAGTTTTTCCTTTTTCTCTTAGTGTTTTAGACTTGATGTTTGGGGTTTATTTTTGTTATTTTAACTGTTTTTGTTCCATGAGGTATATTTCATTTGTGTTTAATTTTGTGAGTGTCTTTTTTTTTTTTGGTTTACGGGCTCAGCAACGTGAAGTTGTTGGTGACATTGCAGAAGCTGCCCTTTGGTTGCAGCACAGCACCACACACTATTGTGTTGCAGTTTAGCCCACCAAAGCACCAGTGCCAAGTGCAGCAATACACCACGTCCCCTATCCAGCTCTTGCCATAGCTGGTAATAAAAATGGGGAATTGCCAATCAGCACTACGTCTGGGAGGCCTAAAGGGTAAGGTAGAGGTTGTTCACATGCTGCTATCAGGGAGTGAGCAGCTTCTGTATCCACAGGCCAAAGCAGTGGTTGGGGTGCAGCATCAAGGGGCAGGCCTTTCTTTTCTGGCAGTGGGTATGCTATACAGCCAGAGCATGCCAAGTAGATGGTTTCTTTTCTGTGTGGTCACATGACACAGAGGAGCTGGTCCAAAATACTCAAGCGCCTCTGCGAAACCCTTCCAGCCATTAGTACCGGCACCTGCGCCTCTCCCTGTCCTTACATCCACTGCCACCACCTCCAAAGATGTGGGACGAGAGGTGCACGGGTAGCCCCCTTCTCATTTGGGCCTCCATTCAGGTACGTGATACTTTAAGTGCTTTTGTTGTGTTACCTCCCTGATTCCTGCATGAAAATATAAAATTCACAAAATTACATTTTGCACTGGGGTAAGCTCTGAAGTCATTTTTTTCACCTCTGGCTGGAATTTCTCCCTATCCTGCTCTCCTCAAAGGACACCGTACAGTAGCTCACTGCTAAAGGGCATTTTGAAACCAAACTTTTTTTTTTTTAACTATTGGATAGAATGTTAGGGATTAGAGCCCCTGTTAGGCTTTTATTAATCACAGGTCACAAGTGTTTCTCTCTGCATCCAACACCATAGCAGTGTGGGCACTTTGGAAATGACTGTGTATGTTACTGAAGATGTACAGGAAACCAACACATTTCAAGGATCTGCGCCCACTTCTTCAGGGCTAAAAACTTTTGTAACTTTATTACATTGCATCGAAAACATATGAAGTCCCAGTTCACCTATGTGGAGACCCAGTTACTTGTGACTTTGTTGGATTGTGTTTCAGCCTTGAATTGTGTCTCCAGCGTTGAGCTCCACCCTCTTTTTTTTTGATGACCATTGTCACCATTGGCAGAAAAATCAAAAATTTTGAGTTGTGGGCAGAACAGAGGTAATATTTCCATAGGGTTTCAGTGACAACGGTCTAACAGTGGATTTCCTGTCATTTCCTGTTGAGTCTATAGGATGAGACGTAAAGAGAAAGCTCAGATGGCAAACAAAACCTGACAGGGGATGCAACCATTCCCTTCTCTATACAACATAATAATAATAATAATAAAGAAACGTTTTGGTTTTAGATATATTTTAATGACATCATAAGGTAGCGGTATTGTTGGGAGGACCACCTCTGTGAACCGTCTTATATACACAGGATACCACAGAAATGATCAATATGTGCAGAGCATTCAGCAGATCTGTGCAATAAAACCTTTAGAGAACTGCAACAAAATGACTGTTAAAGCTGAACTCCGAGATCACCAAATATTGTCCTCATACAAGAGTCATGTGTACTCGTCTTGAATCTTGGTGAGCTTTGTGTATTTCCTCCAGATCTGTGCAGTAATCCGGTGTGAGCTTCCTGTAATGAAGACCGGTCACTGCTGATCTCTCTCCTTGTGCAGGGTGACTGCTCTTCTCTCCGCCCCCTCCTGTAATAAAGACCGTTCACTGCTAATCTCTCTCCTTGTGCGGGGTGACTGGTCTTGTCTCCGCCCCCTCCTGTAATAAAGACCGCTCACTGCTGCGCTCTCTCCTTGTGCAGGGTGACTGGTCTGGTCTCCGCCCCCTCCTGTAATAAAGACCGCTCACTGCTGCGCTCTCTCCTTGTGCAGGGTGACTGGTCTGGTCTCCGCCCCCTCCTGTAATAAAGACCGCTCACTGCTGCG